ATGGACCAAGTAGGTTGACTTTATAAATATCTCATTTCTAAAACATAATTAGATCGTTACTACGAGATCTCGTGGGTTGGGAAGAAGAATTAAGCATTTTTTATAAGGTCTGGAAACCTCTCCCTAGCAGACGCGTTTTAAAAACCTTGAGGGGAACCCCAAAACGAAAAGCCCAAAGAGGACAATTGGTTAGAAATGGTATTAGAGTCGGACACCGGGAGATGTGTCAACGAGAAGGTTGAGTCCTGAAGAGGGGGCTGGACATGAGGCGGTGTACCAGCAAGGCGCTGACCCTGAAGATGGTGGATTTGAGGGTCCCACATTGATTAGAGAAGGAAATGAGTGTCAATGAGAACGCTGAGCTTCGAAGGGGATGAATTGTGAGATCCCACATCGATTGGGGAGAAGAACAAAACACCTTTTATAAGGGCGTGGAAACCTCCCCTAGCAAATGTCTTTTAAAAACTTTGAAAAAAGTTCGAAAGAAAAAGCACACAGAGGCATGTTATGCAAATAGCTTTCAACTTTTATTTGAGAACCCAACAAGCGGTATCTCCATGAATGATATTAAAAGTTATTGAATGAAGAAATTATGCTCGACCATCCACCATTAGTTTGAGAAAAAGGTCGAGTACGTGCTTAATAGTAACATTCTAACATGAAAATGACATTACACTCACACGGCACCACCTTTGATTTCGGAAGGAGCAAACGATGCTCGATTCGGTCCTAGTAAAGGCATGTTGAGAGGTTGTTTCATGTCATTGCCTAATGTGAGCAAAGGAAGGTTTGGATCACTCTATTACAACAAATAGCACTTTAAGATCAGCTTGTCGTGAGTTAACTAAAGGACATAAAAGCCCATGTCTGTCTTTTAACATCGGGCAGTGTGAAGAATACGAGGATCTCACTCAAATATTTACACCGGTGGAGTTGAAAAGCCGAATTGAGTTAGCTTAAGTCAACTAACTGCATGTGCGTGAATGATATGTAAGAAAGTATTTAATCTTGTTCAGACTAAAACACGGACCCCAACGTCATGCCATGATCTTTTAATAAAAGCATAGGTCCCACCGTATTAACATCTCTCAATCCCATCAATGGAGTTACTCTCTAAACATTACGTAAAATACTCAAAGTCAGTGCTACATTTAATTTTTAAGTAAATGTAAGACACGTTTGTACAAATGACGACATTGCAGTGATAGTCATGGAACTGAAACTAGGGTAAAGCTAAGTAAGTCGTACCTTCTTTCTCGGTGGCTCATTCATAAAAACGTCAAAATTAAGTGCGACTAAGACACGTGTCGATACGATTGAGACAACAAATTTTTAAAATTTACTAATTTAAAGTAATTTAAAGAAAGAAGAAAATGAATGCAATGAATGAATGATGTGTAGATTAGTTGAACCTCATTATATAATTCTCACACATTCCAAAGCTGCCCTTTCATACAATAAATGGGACATTTATTTTTCATTTTTCCCTTCAAATATAATATAAAATATAAAATATTTCTTTTTTTATATTGGAAAATTAAATGTCTAGTAATGGGTCATTTTCAATTGAAACCACACATTTTTCATCTTCCATACTATTGTATTAAAAAAATACATGTCTAATATATAAAATAATCTTTCTATTTTAAATTATATATATATGTAAAATAATTGATATCTTTTAATAAAAGATTTTCACCGAGCGTGGAATAAGGACAAGAAACTCAGTCTCCGATGCTACAAAATTCTGCATTTATTTTCACTAGGTGGGGCGGAGATTTGGACAGAATCAGGAACAAGGATTATATTCTTTGTCTCTAGTTTCATTTAGCTAATACGAAGAAATATCGCCCCATTCTTTCCCTCGTTTCCGCCTTGTCGTAATCTTTCTATTTTAAATTATATATATACATATATATATATATATATATATATACTAAAAACGCTCGTTAATATATGTAAAATAGTTGATGTCTTTTAATACAAGATTTTCACCGAGTGGGACACGGAAGTTTGTCTCCGCCTCTTATTTCAATCTTCATCCTGCAAAATTCTGATTTATTTTTTCTGGGTAGGGTGGAGATTTGGACGGGGTCAGGAACAGGGATTATATTCTTCGTCTCTAGTTCTGTTTAGCTAACATGAAGAAATATCGCCCCATTCTTTCTTTCGTTTTCGCCTTGTCGTCACAATTAAATGGACGTTTCTATTTTCAACTTTGAATTTATTATATTTTAGGCTCAAAGATAAGGGTCAGCTGATGGAATACACCGTCCTCAATCTATATATATATATATATAGATAGATAGCATGGGTCCCATGGAGCTAGGTAGGTTCCAAGTCAACTTAATAAATAATAATTTAAATCAAAATTTAACCATGAATTTCATAAATTTATATAAATAAATAAAGAATTAATAAATTGAAAGATTGCTTAGTTTGAAATTCAACTTAAAAAAACAATAATAAATGGAAAGATTGCTTAGTTTGTGGTCTATAGGAAGACAATATGGTATGGCCTTTCCTACCAAATCCTTATAAAACCCTCAAATATAATCCTTCCTCTTCTTAGTTCCATACCTCTCAACCTCCTCCTTCAAATAGTTGACTTCCTCCCACATGGATCCCTCCGGTGACGACGACTCGCAAAGAGCTCGACAAGTGAAGGAGTTCGACGATACAAAGTCGGGAGTAAAAGGTCTCGAGTGAATTTGAATTCATTCGTGTCTGTTTTGAGTTTGAATGGTGCATGATCTTGTTCATTTTGTTTAACAGGTTTGATGGATAGAGGTGCCACGACGATCCCGAAGTTCTTCATCCACCCGCCCGAGAGTGTAAATAGGAAGGTGGCGGTGGCGGAGGTGCCGGTGATAGATCTGAGGGAGGGGCGTAGAAGGGAGGAGGTGGTGAGGGAGATAGGGGAGGCATGTGAGAAGTGGGGGCTGTTTCAAATGGTGAACCATGGAGTCCCAAATGGGGTAATGGAGAGAATGTTGGAAGGCATAAGGGAGTTTCATGAACAGCCAAGAGAGGAGAAGATGAAGTGGTACTCAAGGGATCTTTCACAAAAGGTTAGGTTTTATTGTAATGGTGATCTTCTTGTTTCTAAGGCTGCAAGTTGGAGAGACTCCATAGCTTTTGAGTATCAACATGGCCCTCTCAACCCTCAGGCATATCCACCCACATGCAGGTTCAAATCCTTCCTTCTTTTTCACTAGCGTTGTACATTTTCAAAACACCTTTCAAGTGATTTGATTCCATCATATCAAAACAGCTGTCCAAAACCAAAGAAAAAAGTTACATAGGCTCGTACATTTTCTATCTATTCTAATTACCCGTAATAACGGTTGAAGATGGGAATGAAACATTTGTTATATGGTATAGAAACCTATCTCTAATAGATGCATTTTAAAACTGAGGCTGACGACGATATGTAATAGGCCAAAACAAACAATATTTGCTAGCAGTGGGCTTCAACTATTACAAATAGTATCAAAGTTAGTCACTGAGAGGTGTGCGAGCAAAGACACTAGACCCCAGAGGGTGGATTGTATTCCTTGTAAAGATGTGAAAACCTCTCCCTAGTAGACACGTTTTAAAATTACCCATAATAAAGGCTCCTATTTTTAGTACATTTTCTAACCATTGAAATTATCCATAATAACGGTTGGGGAGGACAAAGAAGCATTCCTTGTGTGAAAATCTCTCTGTGTAGATGCATTTTAAAACCATAAGACTGATATCAAGCCCTAAATATTTGCTAGGGGTGGGCTTAGGTTGTTCCAAATGATATCAGAGCCAGTCATCAGGCGGTGTGCCAGCGAGGACGTTGGCCTCCAAGAGGGTAGATTGTATTCCTTATAAAGGTGTGGAAATCTCTCTCTAATAAACACGTGTTAAAACCGTGATATTGACAATGATCATAACAAGCCAAAACGGACAATATTTGCTAGTGGTGGGCTTGGACGGTTATCTAAGTTATTCCATACAAAAATACAAAAATAGGTTGATAAAAAGCTCATCTTAGTTTCTTTTTGTGTTTGACAGAGAGGCAGTGAGTGAATACATAAAGCAGATGACAGAGCTAAGAGATAAGATATCAGAGTTGCTATCAGAGGCATTGGGGCTGAGCAGTGATTACCTTGCAGGATTAGAATGCATGAAATCGGAAACTCTTGTGTGTCACTATTACCCACCCTGTCCTCAACCAGAGCTCACATTGGGCACCACCAAGCATTCAGACCCTTCTGCTTTGACAATTCTCCTCCAAGACAACACTGGTGGCCTCCAAGTCCTCCATCAAAACCAATGGCTCCATGTTCCTCCTCTCCCCGGAGCACTCCTCGCCAACATCGGCGACCTTCTACAGGTGCGCCTGCCTTCTATCTATCTATATACATAAACTCCACGTCAAATATTAGCCCTTTATCAACGTGCCAACAGACAAACAAACATATATTAGTGGCATAACTCGACATTGTTTTGTATCGATACCATGCAGCTAATCACCAATGACAAGATCAAGAGTGTAGAGCATAGGGTGTTGGCAAGGAGCAATGGGAAGAGAGTATCAGCAGCATGTTTCTTTTATCCAAGCGCAAAACATAGGCTCACACCTTATGGACCTGCAAAAGAGTTTCAATCAGAGGATAACCCACCCATATATAGACCCACTAACATCAATGAGTATCTGAGCAACTATATACTGAAGGGATTAGACGGTAGCTCAGCCTTACCCTATTTTAGAATATGACAACCTCCTACTTGTTGTAACAGCTCAAACTCACTGCTAGTAGATATTGTCCGCTTTAGTCCGTTATGTATCGCTATCAGCCTCACAGTTATAAAACGCATCTACTAGGGAGAGGTTTCCACACCCTTATAAGGAATGCTTCGTTTCGCTCTCCAACCGATGTGGGATCTTACACCAAAACAAAACTAAGAATGAATATCCATTTTTCTTTTGGGGGTGGGAAGGGGTGAAAAAATAAAGACTTATATTGTTCAAATGAACTTATACTATTCAAATGGGTTGTACAAATACAGAATAGTTGCACTCTATCAAGTGGAAAGCTTTTTTCAAACAAATGACAACACTGGCTAGAAAACACACCCAAAAGAAAAAACAAAAAAAAACTTGGTTTGCTTTTAGAGCACCCTTCTTTAGGTTTCTTTTTCCTTTTTGTTCAACTTTTGAGGACTGAATGGGGAAAGGTGTATCTCTGAGAAAAGTTCTGCAGCAGTCTATAAAGCTGGAGACAGATGGATTCACAACAAGAAACTCATGATATTTTACAGAGGAATCTACAAACAGTGGCAAAAAGTTGAGGCGTTGAAGCTGTCACATTGTATTACTGCGCTGTAGTATTTGAACAAGTGACCATAAGATATCCATCCTGTGTACGTTTCTGTTATTCTCCCCCTACAATCGTTGAAAACTAGATATCAAACAATGATTGCTAATATACAGATTTTCATCCAGTATTTATAGCATATAAAGTTCAAATCTATGTATCTAGTTGTTTCGAAACATGTTACATGTTGCAGGCAAAGAATAACTCTCACGTGCTGGTAATTTTAGTTGTTTATACCTCAACCACAAAACAAATCCATGTCTTGTCGCCATGAGCTTCTGTTATGCCTTTTAGTATTATCAATCCCAAGCTTCTAATAGCCTCTGCTATCTCCAAAAAATGGCTGCATTCTTCACACAACATCTGCATACAGGTGTATCACTTGTCGTTATGTTAAACTAAGGAAAAAGTAAATGACCGATGACGGAAAATTGAAGCAAATAAACGAGTTCAACTGAAGAAACAATATGAACAATGGATACTCTTAGATCCTACATCAGTTGGAGAGGGGAACGAAGCATTCTTTATAAGGGTGTGGAAACCTCTCCCTATCAAACACATTTTAAAAATCTTGTGGGGAAGCCCGAAAGGGAAAGCCCAAAGAGGATAATATCTGCTAGCGGTGGACTTGGGCTGTTACAAATGATATTAGAGTCAGACACGGGATGGTGTGCTAGCGAGAACGCTAAGCCCCAAAGAGGGGTGAACACTAGACGATATGCCAGCAAGGACGTTGGGCTCCGAATGGAGGTGGATTGTGAGATCCCACATTGATTTGAGGGAGGAATGAGTGCCAGCGAGAACGCTGGGCTCCTAAGGAGAGTGGATTGTGAGATCCCACCTCGACTGGAGAGAGGAACGAAGCATTCTTTATAAGGGGTGGAAATCTTTTCCTAGCAAACGCATTTTAAAAATCTTGAGGGGAAACCCGAAAGAGAAAGCCCAAAGAGGACAATATCTGCTAGTAGTGTGCTTGGGGTGTTACGATACAAACTGTTCTACCCAAGAGAAATTGACTAATATTTTTCTCTATGATAAAGTTATATATATATATATATATATATATATATATATATATATATATATATAGATACACACACACAAGAAACATCATGATAAATAAAAGATGAATTTTCATAATTCATACCTCTACAAGAATCTGACCGTTCTTGTTGAGATTCTCCACAATTATCGAACAGACTTTAAGTTGACCACCGACTTCAACTGCCCAGCTTGAACCCTGATCAGTACTCGAGGATCCTAGCATGCCATTTTTCTTTTGATGCAACTATAAATACATAACATGCAAGAAGAGGAAAACGGTATTCAAGATTATAACATAAAACTGTTACTATTTTCTTTGGAATTCATATAAAAATGTTACTCAAGTGCAGACAAGTTGAAAGTCTAAGCCTACTATAACAAGGGATGCGACGTGTGGCATTAAGGGTCATTTTAAACAATAGTTGTCCGGTTTAGTTCTTAACCTTTCAAAAAAAGTTAACTTTCCTGCTACATTTCGGTTTCGAAGCCAATTACCTTCATGTTGGCGCATTTGTTTAGCTTGTCAGCATGCTTAGTGATGCCTTGCAAGAACAACATGTGCTTGATTGTGCGCTCCAGCAATGAATCAATACTACACTGTGATACAAGCAAGAAAACTTTAGTGGATAAAGCAAAAAAGCAATGAAACATTATACTTCTATCAAGGAAAGATGAAAGAATGGCTTCTCGTAAGTTACTTTTGCTCCATTTGGTACTAGCTCCCGAAGTTCTTTGATTCGATCCTGGATCAATTGTCTATCCCTCGGCCTCGGCCTACAACTCTCACCAGGTCTAGCCCTTCTTTTACTGTTCTTTGCAGGTTCTGAAAACTGCTCCAGGTGCTCACTGCCGGTACCAGAATATGTCGACGAAAACCCTTTTGTGGACATCACCCCACATACTCCTGATGAGCTTAAAGAGTTCTGCATCTCCTCTCCAATAAAAGATGTCTGACTTTGACCCATTGTATAACCTTCTGAACAAGCAGACGTAACATTTGTCGAAGGCTCGGGAATTCTTTCAGTCGTTAACAGAGACTGTCCAGATTTGCATAGAGATGTGTCACTTTTAACATCAGAACCACTATGACAAACATCAGCCACTACTGCTTCTAAAAGATGCTCGGTCGGTGAATCAGACGTCAAATGGCTACCATTTGTTCCCTCAGATAACTCAAAAGCTTTACCACCAAAAACGTACTCGGTTTTCCAGTCAAGATAAAGAGCATCTTTCAGAAAAGCAGGTCCTAGTACTTCATGTAGCTCATAACCAGCAGGGAACTTCAACGACGAATTTGATGGATACACATTAATAGTTTCTGATGCTTCGACATCATTTTGCAAGTACATTTCTGAAGGGTTGGTTTGACTACACATCCCGTAGTGTTTAAGTCCACAAACAGACGAGGCTTGAGGATTCATAGGGAAGTATGCTTCATCTGTTATGATCTTTTCAGCTGGACCAGATAAATTAACCATACCCATTTCGGAGTTTTGCGATCCCACATTGATTTTTTGTTTCAAACCGACAGCGATATCTTTGCACCCACTAGGCTCCCCTCCACATATCCTGTCATCAAGCAACCTCACTTGCGACTTAAAACTGTCCACATTGATAGCATCTGGTTTGATTTCTAGAGATTTAATGCCCCCAGATCCTGACAACTCTATACCCACATCCTTGCTGACCATTTCAACTTCATTTTTCTGAGCAAAAAAGTAAACTATTAAAAGAATATTCCTAAGTATGATCACGGGAAGGAAATTTTAGGCAACAAATAACTGTACTGTCTCTATTTTCATAGGTGTCTTAAGTTGTTAATGCGACCGGGGCTCACCTCTGTTGCTAAGCTTCTAGACGGAATGTCTGCCTACAGAAAAGAAAATTTTGATATCATGAGCATAACTAGCACATACCCTATCACATCAAACCAATACAGACAAATTATTTAATTGCCTAAACCAGTTAAAGATGGGAGATGTGAGATCACACATCGGTTGGGGAGGAGAACGAAGCATTCTTTATAAGGGTGTGGAAACCTCTCCCTAGCCGTCGCGTTTTAAAAACCTTGAGGGGAAGCCCGAAAGGGAAAACCCAAAGAAGACAATATCTACTAGTAGTGGGCTTAGGCCGTTACTGGAGAGGAAGGTAAAAGATACAGAAAGGGAGTTACCACATATCCCGAACTCTCACAAGAATGCATTGGCTTAATATGCCCAGCTGAAGACTCTTGAAGAGTTAGAAAGACGTTTCTGATGCGAGCCACAAGATTGACATCCTCAATGACCTAATTCCAATAACAAAAAAGGACCCATCAAAAAACCAAAAGCATCACGAGTATTGTAATGAAGGCTACCAACCTCTAACAGATACCAAAAACCAAATACCAAATATTGTAAGGAATGTAAGGCTACAATAAGTTGAAATAATTATAATGTCGGGGGGGCCTATCGTATGAAACAAGGTCAGTTACAGCTAGGATTGAGCATAATTATGTATACTACAACCCCAAACAAAAAGTTGACGTTCAGCTCGGATCATAATTCACAAACTTCCACAATCTACCAGAAGGAAGATGATCTTACTTTATCTAAAGATCCAAGCTGTAAAACACCGTGCGGGACAACGGCTGCAACAACAATAGTCTACAAAGCATATAAATAACAGTTAAGTAGAGAGTTCGAAAGAATATATAACGGAATTTAGCAGAGAAAAAATTGAATAATCTGGATTTATTCTCAAACTGTTCATCAGGACAGCATATGAACAGTTGAATTCATGACCAAACCCACCCTATAAGCTGATTCGAGATGATAAATATATTAACGAGAAACACTAAATGTTATCATACTTCAGAAAACCTATGAATATTATTGCAATCATATATTATGGGTAATAATACACTGCTATCCTTGAGGAACGTGGGTTCAAACTAAAAAATAAGAAACTTAACGTGTCGAGTAGCACAGTATCGACTCCCAAATTTGTGAAGTCAAAATTAAAATCCGGTGGAGAAATACACTAGTCACTCAAACGTGGGCGAAGGGAAAGAAAGGCTGTCATACCTTAATGCCAGCTGAAAATTGAGTTTGCCAACCGTCACAGTACTATTAAAAAAGTGATCGGAAAATGAGTAATGAAATACAGCCCGAAATAGTCAAAAAACAAGCATGATAAACTTCATTAACTTAAATTATTGCACAACACGAAAATATAGCACCTCAAGTGTTGAAGAGAAATTTGGAATTTGCTCATCTGCAGTAATCCATTGATGTTTTCCAGTAACTGCTACTTGTCCAACAATCCTTACAAAAGGAAATAATAATTAAAACAAGGTGAAGCCAATTAGAACCTTATATAGAGATTCCCAGAGAAACCGATTTATCTTTAAGAAACTTGAATTAAGGATAAACTATAAGAATATATCCAAGAACAATGGTGGTTAAACCAAAATTATCTTGAACTAATCTTAAAATAACCAAATAGAATGACAAATGTTGAGATGTTTACCCTTCCCCAAGAGAATATACATGATAAGACATCTTTGCCACAGCTAATTCTAGAGGGTCGTGTGAATAACGTCCATCATGAAACTTCTCGATCGTTTTACTGTAAAACTTGCTCTCTGGCAGATCATGTTGTTCTGAATTGTCGTAGTAGCCATCTTCCCAAGTCAGCACCCTGAATTCAACATTAATTTAAAAGATAACAGATCAAACATTTATATCAATTATATTCCCCAAACTGCTATTGATTTGAACCTTTAACCTCAAGGTCGAGATTATAATGACTATCTAGATAAGTTACACGTAGGTTAGCCATCAACGAACCAGATTAACAAATGGACAGTAACTTTCAATGATAAAATGACAAGAAAATCGACTTACATACGAGCTCGATGCTTAAGTTTCCAAAAGACAGCATACTTCCATTCAGAGTTGCAACAAAGGCTTTTGAGTATTTGGTGCAAATCAGTAGTACCCATCGCTTACTGAACCAATTTTGTCTAAATGCCCCCTAAAAAAATACACTACAAAGCAGGGCGTGTTCCTAAAACCACGTTGAAAACCCCCAAATCTAAACACCTTGAGAAGAAAAACCCCCAATTTTCCTAGCTTCCCCTATAAGAGCCTCTACCAGCCTGCTTTCTCCTCAACCCTGCTCGCCGTTTTATTGGCGGTCCAACTGTTGGTAATAGCAGACGATCAGTTCCCATCCCCTTAAACTCAAACAGCCCCAAAAAACCCCAACTCAAATACACGAATTCTTCAACAAATTCAACACAAACAAGACGATATCAATGAAATTTCAGCATCAACAACATAGCTTCTGACACAGTGGACTCCATTATAGGTCATATAAGTATAACAATCCATGAAGAACAATAACTGCAGCAACAGAATAAAATCCCAAACGAACACTCAAATACGGCTGATTTTCTCTCAGACCCACCACGGATCACTCAAACAAGGGCAAAATCAAATCCTAGCTTATGTCGGACGACATGGATAAACTTATGAAATCGTCATAAAAACAACAAAAAGGAGTACGAAGAAGTGTTTTCAAGGATCAAATAAGAACCCAAAACCAAAACCCAGAAACCAAAAAAAACCCAAAAAGGCGTCAAAGAGAAGGATTTCAAGAAGCCGCTTTACAGAGAGAAGCAGTATTGATTGAAGCTTTTTGACCGAAAGATATAAGGAGAATCACAGAGAAATTCAACGCCCTGATCTACATTTCTCTTGCATTGTCGCTTTTCTATTTCTTAGATTGGCTTCACAGAGAGATCCCACAGCTTTCCTCAGAGGAAAAATGGTTGAAATGCTTGAAAGAGAGCGAGAAAGCTCTGAGGTTTCCGTTGAATTTTGATCGCTTTGTTTCAATTGGTGAAGGGAACAATAACAGATTCACACACACACACACACACAACAATAACGGATGCTGGAGAACTTGAAACCCAACGGCTTTAATACAACCGGACGGCTCGTTTTAGCATTACCGGCGCCGCTCAGCCCTTGCCAATCTTCTTCTTTCAGCGTATGTTAGCAAAGGATTCCTTTTTAGTGGGGGTATTTTCGTAATATCAATGGAGACGGAGGGCAAAAAGGGAAAAGGAAATTATAGTTTTTTTTTTTTTTTTTTTTGCCACTAATTAATACCATATTTATAATTTTCTTTTTTTCGAGTTGATCGAGACAGTAGTAGTTGAAATCTCTACTGAATTATGCTTGTATCGGTAATTATACTAGTGTAGTTGGAGCATATTAAAAATACGTATCGACCGCTTAAATTATATGTTCACCTTCTCAACACCTAAAAAGTGTCGAACGAAGTCAAAAAAATTGTACACCTAATAATTATACCGATTACTCTCCCGATGATACCATCTTAGTCGAGATATATGTCTTAATCAGTTGAGCTATGCTTATATTGACAAAATTTACTAAGCTAAGATGGTTTAATTAGTTGAGCTATGCTTATATTGATTTTTTTTTTTCTTTGGTACGTTCATTTTGTGGAAAGCGTCAAAGAAATATGGGAAACAACATGATGGGTAAGGAAGGAAAATGGCATTATTTTTTGTAATGGTTAGCCTTTTTGTTGGACAAAGGGCATATGAATGTTTGGCATAAACCCTAAACCCTCCTTTGAGGTCGTTTTCAACCATGATTTTGTTGTTCTAAAAGTTGTCACAATTACCCTCCATGTCCCATTTCCCAGTTAAAGAGAGTTTGTTTTTATCGTAATGTTTTATTTTTCAGATCTGAGTAAAGGAAGCGTACATAAATGAATTGAGATCACATATGAATGAAACAGATCCTAAGGAATGTTTAAAAGAATTGAAAGTTACGGTCTATACTAATAAGATGCATCTTCCACTAAGAACCTGTATTAGTCGGTGAGGACAATCTTCACTGTTATAAGTAATAAGTAAGTAACGTGTTCCTAGATTAACCTTGTAATAACATAGAATTAAAAAAAAAACATGTTTGATGCAACACACCAACAAGACATAATTTGGGGAATCCCATGATGTGTGTATGTTTTAAGAGTGTGTGATCTTGTGGGATTATTGCCATTCATTTTCAATCATTCTTTTTTTCTTTTGTTTGTTCCTATTTTTGAGGGGAGAGTGATTATAGGGAAGAACAAAAAGTTAATCTACTTTATTTATGGATAATTAAGTTTGAAAAAAAAAAAAATACATGTGCTCGATGTCACGGTCTTGTTCGTCTAAGGCGTGTTGCCCATGGCCGTATGCCCATGACAAGCCTAACCCTTTATGTCTTTTCATATTCTAGTGTTTTATTTTTGTATTTCTAGGAAATATGACGTTTCAGAAATATCATATGTAGGCGTGTCAGACATGAGATGCCTCAGAATGTACTATAAGGGGATACGACAAGTTATCAACTTCTCCCTACCCAAGGTTATATACTGTGAGTCGTTGTTATTTCTCTCTTGCTTGCTTATATAACGTCTTTTTCAAAAATCTCTCTTTCGAAAATCTCTCTCTGCCCTCGTTTTCTAAAACCTTCTTTTAAAACCGAATCCAGAGGCTCGAGCATACGTCGCTTGGTCGTAGGCGACGCAAGAACGAATTGGCTTAGCTCACTTGTCGTTGAAAAGTGAGTGTCGCACAATTGCAAGTCCGCTGTCATCAAAAGTGCGATTGACACTCCCGTGCAACATGGTTACATGACAACTATCCCCACAAACCAACACGAGTTCTTCCAGCATATTTTGAGACATTGCTCCTAAAATGTTTGTTTTTTTAGTCATCTTATCATACATTCAAATATGGTATCGATTCATTCATGTACTCCTCATTTACTTTGGTGTCACAAAATACATCATATATCTATCATCGAAAGAAACTAACAGCTAAATTTGTATTTTAACGAATGGAATTAAAAATTCTTCCATATTTTTCAAACGGGTCACGAACAATAATCGATCAAAAGAACGTAAAATCGAGAAATTGGGTATGTCTTTAGATTCTCTCTCTAAAATGGAGTTAGGAAAGCAACATGATCCCTAGTAGATTTCATAGCTTAGCTTTTTACTAACATGTAATCTACAAGATGAGTCCTTAGTCTTTCTATGCAATGAGTGACAACTTTGATATCTCTCTCTCTCTAAATGTCACTCAGTCAATATCGATCGGCATCAAAATGGAAAACCCATTAATGCATATATATACTCGAGACATTAGTGGATAGTGTCCTCTTGAAAAAATAAACAAATTGTTTATATTTGACCCGACTCGATAAAACCTTATGATTAATACTATAACATTTGATAAAAGATAAGCATCCGCTCGTGTATGGTAGGGAGAGGTTTTCACACCCTTATAAAGAATGTTTTGTTCTTCTCTACAATTGATGTGGGACGTTATAGCACTGCAGACAAATAAACTAAAATATTTTGTAGTGACTTTAATTGAGAAATCTCCTGATTTTAAATATTTTGCTGTCTTGTTCTTTAACGGCCATTCTTTTGTTCAAATCTTTACTGGGTTTGTCAATTCACATTAAGAAAAGAAAAAAAAAATGAACGCTAGTGGTCCGAACAAATCTAAGTTGTTAGAGAATCGAATGATAATACGTTTATAAATATTTTAATGAAGAAGATTGAGTAATTAAGAAAGCTACAACAGCACTAATTAAACCTAATTCATTCAACGTTGTTCATCATTGCTTCGTTTGATTTAGTCCCAACAAAATAATTACTATATATATATACACTTTTTATATTAGAATTTGTGCTTATTTTATTTTATAATTAAATTAATAAAGATACTCGTAAATTTTATATTTTGTCAGATAAATATCTATAAACGTTCAACTCTCAACCCTTAAAAAGTCTAAAAAATATCTTTAAATTTTAAAAAATTAAAAAAAAAATTGTATAATTAGTTCGGAATAGAAACCGCTAATATTTTATTTAAAAAATATCTTTAAATTTTCAAAGAAAGTTGAAAAATGCCAAAAAAAAAATTTTAAATGTTCAAATAATATTTTTGAATTTTTTTTAAACATCACTTATTAATAAAAAAATTTAATTTTTTTAAAGTTAGTATTTTTGAAACCGTAATAAAAGTTCGAACTATTTTTGAAATAAAATATCAACGGTTTTTATTCAAAACTGATAAAATTAATTTTTTTTTTATACTTTTTTAAAAGTGTAAAGGTATTATTGAATTTATGAATTTTGTTAATCAAAATATTACGGGAATTTTTTTTATTTGTTAAAATAAGAAGAAAATCATTTTAATGTATCGTTCGTGACATCATTAGCATCCTTTACATACATTGACGTTCAAGTTGCTGTATAAAAATTGATCAGGTTAAGATATGAACGTATCTTTTAAGATGAATCTTTATTTTCTATATATTCGTAGATATTCTTTATTTAATATAAAAGATATTTTTACAACAATTTCAAGATAGACACAAATTAGCATATAAATAAAATAAATAAATTTATCTAATTTAATAAATAATAATAATATTTAAAATAAAATGTAAATACCAATTCAAGCATAACTCAATGAATAAGATATTAAATACAATTCAAAATGTCGATGATTTGATCTTCACCATTTTTACGATACAACTCCACTCATGACTAACCATTTTAAGATCTCGACGAATACTTTCCACCGATCTAATTATACTCCATTAATGCCTTTTTTTTCTAGCTAATCGTTAAAATTTAAAAGTATTCGATGCATTTAAACTAATAAACTTTTAAAAATAAATCGTATTCGACGTCAAATCAAAGTTAGCGTCCTAAAAGTATACGATAAATTGATATTAAAAATGTCAAATCCTACCTACCCACCGAAGAACACATAGAGTTCATCCCAACCATATGTAAATTTTGGTAAGATAAGGTGCTATCAAGTCTTTGAAGCCACTAATACTCTTAGTTGATTATCCACCCGCTCGGGATGAGATTGTTGCTCTGGAACCATTTGTAATGACCCATGTCCACAATTCGAAACCTGGATTCGGTATCTAATGGCTCTGACAATTTCATACGATATGGTCACGTCACTCGCTCATCGCTTCCAATAGTGAAAACTATCATCACAGATCAACACGAGTATTTCCAACATGTTTTGTCCTCACTCACCCAACATAGAATTACTCAAAAAATAAATCGTATTTAATATTTGAATTCTTATGATTGAGTCACGGAAAAGAAAATGCATTTGGTTGGTATAACAGTGATTTCAATTCTTTTATGTCTTTTTTAGACATTGTACTCTTAGAATTGCTCTCATTCGGATGTGACCTTGGTTCATTCATATACCTGTCTTTTACTCGAGTACCACAGTAATTGATTTAAAATTAGTTTGATTACCAAATATTTTAAAATGGTTAAAATTTTAACGACAAATATTTAAGAAAAATCATTTTAATCCTCCATAAATATTTTAAAAATCAAGCTAAACACGCAATTAATCTTAATAATACTAATTATAATTATGATTTAGATTTGACCATTATTTTTTTTCTAAAATAATATATTAATTATTAATTTAAGTAAAGTTGATGGGCATAAACTTTCTATTATATTCCATCTTTACCTTAAAAAAAATTAAAAAAAAAAAAAATTCTTTTCATGTAAGGTATATATTTTTTATTCTAAAATTACATTGGTTTTTTATTAGGGTAATATTTTGAATTTGAAAAAAAGATAATTAAATTTAAAAATTAGACGAAATATATTTTATATTCATTTGAGTTTTGTTGTCAATTCAGATGCTATCTTAGCTACCTGTATGACGACGAGAATGTTCTAGAGCCATGTAACGAGATGTGTACTTTCCCTATTGTACTATTGTGGGAAGACTTTTGTATGTACAGTATCCTTCTCTTATGCTACTGGTAGACTGTTGCAACCTTTCTTAGCGCGCTTTTTAAGTGCTTA